ATATATATATATATATATATATATATATATATATATATATATATATAATTATTTTGACATTGTGAATAAATTGATAGATGCAAATTGAATGGAAATTTAAGCAATTTGTTGTTTTCATGACACGTATTTTTTTTTTATTATCATCATTTAAAGCTATTTAATTTTAGCGATTCAGTTAAACAAAATGACAAATCTGAACCACTTATGGTTGTAGATACTTTTCAGAATCATGAGTGTGTAGAGAAGCCAACCAGCTTGTGTCATGAAACAGTCGCTGTTTTATGGGGGATAATTTGTATTCTTGCTCCATTCTCTTTTAGTTTCTTAAGATTAACTGACTGGAAACAGTATTAACAACAAAATGGATCTCAAGTTGTTTTATTAAACATTATTAGTCGACACATAATCACATTTGTGGGAGTGGTGGCAAAGAGATTAGAGAAGGAGGGCCTGTGATTGGAAGATTGCCGGTTCAACTCCCGGTACTGACAACATCAAAATGTGGGTGGAATAGGTGAAGCACCCACACCTGTCTCCACCCTCATTTGCCGCACTCTGGGCCCTTGAGCAAGGCCCTTAACCCCCACCATCTGCTCCCATGGGTGCCCTAGATAGCAGCTATCTTCTCCACACAGAGGCCTGTGGTAGCTCGGTGGTCCGTGGTTGCATCAGGATGGGCATCCTGCGTAAAAAATAATTGCCAAGTTTTTGTGCAAGTTAATTTGCTGTGGTGAACCCTGAAGAAGGGTCTGCCGAAAGAGGGAAAAAAGTCACATTAAAGGGAAAAAAAACAAACAAAAACAGCTTTGTTTTGCCCACACAGCACACGATCATTGTTTTTTTTTTCTGTCTTATTAATTAATTAATTTATTTATTTATGTATCTATGTATCTTTCATAGCAGTGATTAAAATTTGCTCCTGACTGACTCTATTTCGGACAAATCTGTTAAAATATTGTTTGTTTTTGTCTTTTGTGTCTCCCGCAGTATATGTAGGTGTTTCTTTTTATCCCTAATGCTGTGTCTGTTTTTAGGTGTTTGGGGGCCACTGAGGTGATGAAGGTCCCCATGTTATCCCAGTGGAGGAGCCAGCTAATGACCAGTGTGTTTGTCTGCTGAACGGCCCCCACCACTAACACCGCCCTCTATCCCTCTCCTTCTCCATTGCTGATGGCTCTATGGGGCATCATCAGCCTCAGCCTTCATTGCTGGGTGTGTTTACGATCCGGTGCAACGGCAACGGTAGCAGCATCCGGCCTCCCTAATGACAAACCCGGGGGACCTCTGGACTGGCTCCTTTCGGATAAGGGACCGTTCCACCACTCGCCAGAGTACATTGACTTTGTGGAGAAGAACCGGCAAGGCTTCTCCACCAGATACAAGATATACAGGTAAGCTATAAACAAGAGACGAAGAGACACTTTCCATGCTTCCAATCATCACTGCACCTCCATTAAACAGTTAGCAAATCTTCCACATCTGCATCGAATCATCTCTGAAGTTGTACTTTGATAAATCAACAGTGTGCAGTTTGGATCTGCTTTTACAGTATGTGCTTACAATACTTTAACTTAAACATACATGGCTATTTAAATCACAAGTTAGTCTTTATAGTATAAAAGGCACAACAGGGACAGGGAGGAGATTGTTGTCCAAACTTAACTGGTTCCTGGACAGAGTCAGTGACTTTACAAATATCCCCTCCATTTGTCAGAAACTCAAACATGACTTATGCACTACACAAACATTCACAAATGCATCATACTCTGCATACTAGTACTGCATTTTTCGCTGTATAAGTTGCACCTTTTTGCATAAATTTGCAAGTCCTGCAACTTATACACCAAAGTTACTAATATTCTTTTTTTTTTTTTTTTTTTTTTTAACCCCATATTTATAACCCAATTTTTGGCTGAGATCTGATGATTTCATTCATTCTAACATGGGAAATATTGAACACTACAATTTTTAGCCACTAGAGGGCCCTCGACCTATATGGCAAGCCAAGTTTCTCATTAACAGGCAAAAGTGACTATTAATGAGACACTTGGCTTGCCATACCAAGCCACTTTTGTCTCGATCCATAACTCCTGGAGCAAACATTAAATCAGCAGATTTGACCATTAAAGTGTTTTTATTAAGTAAAAGGTAAACTAAGATGCACCTTTACTATAATGTCAAGCAAACAAATAATTGTTTTTAGGTCTTAATCTTGTTCATTTTGACTAAATGCACAGCGAGTCGTCCCTCTGCGCACTCCCGCAGCCGCAAATCATTTTTTGAAATGCAGCTGATTTGATCGTTAAAGTGCATTTATTAAGGAAAAGTTAGACTGAGATGCACCTTTGCTATAATTTGGAGCAAACAAATACTTGTTTTTAAGTGTTAACCTTGTAAAATTCTTGTTAAAGTCCTCCCGTGCACGCTCCCACGGCTGCCACTTGGCAGCCAATCGATTTTTATCGCAACACCGGCCCACATTTCCAGGTTGTCAGCGGTGACGCATAATAGATGCAACTTATTAATGTTTTTTTTTTTTTTTCACATTGTTAGACATATTTGGACTGATGCGACTTATATGGTGCTGCAACGTGTACCGTGGCAAGTAAAGTACTTTGTATTTCAGATTTGGTTATTAATAGGACCTATATTTATTTATTATTTTTAATATTTTTCTTATCTTAGAAGTGTTGTTTCTATTTAATATGATTTCTCTGACTTGAACATCTGCAACAAACCCAATTTATCCTGCACATTTACAAAGTATTACTGGTATTCTAAAGCCGCTATATGTATGAAACATTCTATTCAACTTTTTTTTAATCCATTTTACAGTTAAGAGGATGAATAATCTGATACAGCCTTTTAAAGCAAAATGTTTTGCTTCACTTTACACTTCGTCACAGTAATGGACAGCGTGGGCCATTGCCTGGAATGTCAAACTGTTATATGGAGTTACTTTAGTCTTCTGTCCTGCGTTTAGCTGTTCACGTCCACTGCTGGTGAAGGGCAATGGACCTCAGATATATCCAATTCCAGCATGAGTTCATGCAGTGAGTTTAACTATAATTTTATTTCTGTTATTGGCATATATAACTTTATGTGACAAACTTTAAGCAAATTACCCAGATGCTATTTTATTTTATTGTACCTATTGTTTCAAAAAGATAGTGTTTTTTGATTCTGCATATTTCATGTAATCACCACATGCTAATCATCAGTTCACTGACGTAGATGTGTGATAAGAGAAAAGGCTCTTTGGTGGACGGCCAATCAGTCCAGGGTGCACTCTTGAGCAGATTGCTGTCATGACCCGCTTACAGTCCCGAACAGGATAAGGAGGATTTAACAAATGATTGAACGCACACATACATTTATTTACCTTTTTATTTTAAATCCATACATCCATCCATTATCTTTTTACCTGCTTCTTCCATTTTGGGTCACGAGTGTCGCCGGTGCTCATGTCCAGCAATCGGTGTGTGAGGGGCGGGGTACACCCTGGACGGGTCGTAAGTCCATCACAGGGCTTTATTTTAAATATTCAACATCATTTTTAGCCACTTTAATGCCAAGTACACTTACCTAGTTTTTATTAAAGCACAGTTAATTAAATAAATGAACACTTTCTAGCTGCGTTTGCTTTTCAAGATCCTTTTTTTTTACATTCAAATGTCACAAGAGCAAACATCCACAGCTATACTGCACACGTACTGTATGCTTCATGAAAATCCTCTTCTTGCTTGAGTGGCTGACAGCCTGCATTACTTGGCCTGTGTTGTCATGCACAAAAGGTTCACACAATCTGGCATACCCCGACTGAATCACAGGGTGCATGGCTGTTTGTTGCTTTCAGCTGGCTGTATATTACTTTTCGTTCGGTCCTAAAGCCTCCTGGATTCACCCGATCATTTGGTCAAATGACATATGTTGATTACAGCTGTACAAGAAAAGATTTGTCACAAAGGCAACGCAGTCTGAGGTATCGGAATACAAGCGAATTAGTGAAGATTGTGTCATGAATCATTTCCATCGTCACCGAGGTGGATGTTGTCTGGGTTTGTGGAAATTGATAGACAGGGTTCTTGACATCTATGGATCGTTGCAAGGATGTTTTATAGCTTCTGTGATCAGTAGCCGTGTTAGAGCTTTTTAATATTTCCTTCTCTGGCAAATGGCTGAGGTCCATTGGAGCTGAGCTTCATGGGCGGCAAGATTAATAGTCTTATCATGTGGCCAAGTGATTAGTGAGCTCTTAGTACTTATTACTCTGCATTATCACAGAATCCCCTGAGAGGCTTCTGTCAGCTGCAAGGTTGTGTTTGAAGCCCTCTAGATTACCACAATGTGGCACTGATTAATAGTGTTGATATTAAAAGGAAAAACTAACCTAAAAAAGTAAATAGCCAGTAAATCTTCCCAAATTGAATTCAGTTGGATTCAGTCCCGTTCAATCTCACAAACCGGTGCAGACAGCTGTAGGATTGTTTCTGTTTTGGCAAACAGCAGCCTTCTTTAGTGCCGGGGTGGGTGAAATGTGATGATTTTGGGTGCTCGCTCCTGGATGTGGTTCACAAGTAAATTCTATAGAATTGTTTCATTTTAAAAGTAAATCAGGCTTACTGACGTATGTTCTCAAGGGAGGATGATTCACTGTGCCAGTTCTACCTGTTCTGTCTGGATTTGAACCGCACAGCAGTGTCTGAGCACGAGTCTTCACAAACAGCTGATCTGAGCGCGTTCTTTAATGACGTTTGCTTTTCAGGTTTTATGAAATAACTCATGACAAGCAGTATTAAGGTTTGTGCAACATTGTTTTACGATATTGTGATCACATAATATAGTTTGTGTTTCAAGTTTCTTATTTTTTGTTAGTTATAGTCTAAAGCCACTGAATAAAGTTCTACAAATACTGTTTTATTAATTATAAAATTAAATTAAAAAGATAAGTGTCTCAACATACAAGTCAATGTTTGCTGACATCTGTTGCTCTGAATATATTTAATAATGCTGCATATAAAAAAAACAAACAAAAAAAAACGGAATAAAACACTCATCAGAATAAAATAGCTCAAAAATACATTTAGATGTAAGATTATTTATTGTGTGAATGGTTATGAAGCATTCACTCTATTTTGATCCATTTTTCTTCCATACATTATTCAACACAATTATAGTTAGTTTTCAAACAATTTCAACAAATCATGAATCAAAACATTCAGCTCTTTCAGGACTATCCTGCTATGACTTTTGGTATTGGTGCAACTGTAGCTTTTAGGAATATTTAACCTTTTCTGCCGTTTTTATCTCATAGAAAATGAATTGAGCTCATGTTACATCCTTCATATCTTTAGATTCGTTTACAAACTTTTACTGCTCCTTTCACATTTTGTTCTGCTTCAGCTTCTTTCAGCTTCCTTGTGCAAACTTAAACATTTCTTTCAGCTGCTTTCATTGATTCAGGTGTTTTCTTTTTTTTTTTTTTCAGCTTTAATCTGCTAACTGCATTATGTTAGCGCTTCGTCTAACTTATTTCTGACTATTTCACCTTATTATGCTCATGTCAGCTTATTTCTGCCAGTTTAACCTTTTTTCCTACTATTTCAGCTACTATTTGTCATCACTGTCATCACTCTTTGTTGAAATCAAGTCTCTTTTGTAAATGAGTACTTGAGGCTCAATGGGATCAACCTGTCTAAATAAAGGTTGAAATTATCTTTGCTGATTTTGTGCCAATTTTAGCTTTTTCATCTAATTCCAGAGTTTTTTGCACACATTTCAACTTTTTTCAACCTAATTCATCAAAAAAAGTGTTCTCTCCACTTGCTTATTTCCACTATCTCCACTTATCTCCACTAGTTCATTTCTGCTTTTTAAATTTTTAGTCGTTTTTTTTTTTTTTCCCCAAAATAATTTCACTTTTTTGTGCTAATTTCAGCTTCTTTCATTCTGATTGGACACACTTGTTCTCTCTCCACTTCCTTCTGGTAATTTAAGCTTTTTCCTACATTTTTAGCTTCTCTTTTTTTTTTTTTTTGTTTGTTTGTCGCATATGTCAGCCTTTTCCAAACAATTTCCACTTTTTTTGTTGTAAGTTCTGCCTCTATCAGCCAAATTAAACACTGCTGTGCTTTCTCCACATCCTTTTGGTAATTTAAGCTTATTTTTTGTTTTTTAAGCGACTATTCAGCTGTTTTTTTTTTGTGGTTTTTTTAACAAATATCTGCCTTTTTTGGGATAATTTCCACTTTTTTGTGCTAATTTCAGCTTCTTTCATGCTAAGTGGGCACACTGCTCTCTCCACTTCCTTCTGGTAATGTAAGCTTCTTTCTGCCTTTTTAGCTACTTTTCAGCCATGTTTGTTGTGCCAATTTCAGCCCTTTTTTAGCTA